GCGAGTATTACTAACAGGTGAGTGTGTCGCTTTGTCAATCAACATAATTTATTCGATTTTGCTGGAAACCCCCCTCCCTCAAAATGATTCTTCAATCACACAAGGCAAATATCATGGTCAGTGGCAATTCTCGGGGAGGCCAAGGTTATCTGGGGCCCAAATGAGTCGACTGGAGGTGAAACATTCACAACACTGGCCAACAAAAGGGAAACAAAGACGTGGTGTCTGTTCGCTAAACAAGAAAAGCAGGAGCACCATTTTCTATTGTAAAAAGTGTGATATTGCGTTGTGTGTCGCGGACTGCTTCAAGAAGTGGCACATGTACATCGGAGTGTGATGTACCATAAACTGTGAAGTGACGCATTTCAAACTCGCATACAGTGTGAACAAAATATCATTCAATATAGTGTGATTATATTTACAATATCACAGAGTCTCAAGGTTGAAAAAAACTACAGGTAAGTCCTCTGGAATTTCATAACATAATAAAGATTATATTTTCCATTTCATGACAAAATAATCAGCATTAATTTTCGTTTGTAAAAATCGCTCTTTTGTGTATATGTAGAAAATTTTATTGTCTTTTGGGTTGTTTTTAGTTCATATTTCTATGTTGCATAGAATGGAAAATATGTAGTTTATTCTGAAAGTTCGCAATGTTAAAGACTTGGGCGATTTAAACTCCAGCCTCAGAGTGCTGCAGGCTATTTAAAAGTCTGTATGTTAAAGGTTAAAATAAATGTAAACCCAATTTTATACAGGCCTTCTGCAAAGATACACTTTTCCATGAAGTTTCATGTCATATCTAACATATTCCTTTTTATTTCCTAAGAAGGTCCATTATCGAGGTGACACCATAAACAATCCATTACACTTGATCGTCGACTTACAACTGACTTCTGTTCTGACTGACAGGTCGTAAGTTGATCTGGTCGTATGTTGGCCATATATTTATTAACAGTATTTTTTAATATTTCTATCCTTTTTATCATCTTTATAATTTATTTTTTAAAACTTTTACATTTTAATCATCTTTTTTTTTTCATTTTTTGTGGACGTAAGTCGATGACCAAGTGTACTTTGTTACCAAATTAAAAAAATGCCTGAAACACTTCTTATGCTATGCATGGAGATGTGAATTCAACCAGTTGACATTTTACCTACATACACCTTTCTTTTTAACCTATCAAGTGTCCACTTGGGTTATCCTGTTGGTTTCAGATTACACCTCTCAACATCAATTTACTGAACTGATCTACATGGACACCTTCCATGTGTGAATCTTGAAAAGGGAAGAAACTCTCTAAGTTTTCATAAACAGAGCCACACCTGAAATAAATCAAAAACTGACTCAGGAGGAAATTAAGAGGGGACTGAATTCAGGTAATGCTTGCTATCATTCATTCCAGAATCTTTTGTCTTCTCATCTGGTGTCTAACAACATAACAATCAGAAAATATAAAACTATAATTTTGCCTGTGGCTCTGTATGGGTGTGAAACTTAGTCTCTGACATTAAAGGAGGAACACAGACTGAGGGGGTTTGAGAACAGGGTGTTCAGGAGACTGTCTGGACCAAAGAGAGATAAAGTGACGGGAAGTTAAAAGAAAAGAGCATGATAAGTGACTTCATAACTTGTACTCGTCTCCAAGTACATTTACAATGATCAAGTCAAGGAGGATCAGATGGGCAGGGCAAGTAGCACAAATGGGGAGAAGAGGAATGCATATAGGATATTGGTGAGAAAGCCTGAAGGAAAGAGACCACTATAAAGACCAAGACATAGATAGGTGGAAAATATTAAAATGGATCTTAGAAAGATAGAATAGGATGATATGGATTGGACTGATCTGACTCAGGATAGGGATCAGTGGAGGACACCTGTGAGTACAGTAATGAACCTTCGGTTTCCATAATATGCTGGGAAGTTCTTGAGTAGCTGCACAATTGGCAGCTTCTTAGAAGGGCTCAACTTCATGAGTGAGTGAGTCACACACCATGATATATGCCAACTATACCTGACACATCCGCACTACAATATTATCAATACTCACACAGTAGACCCAATACACTGAACCAAAAAACTGCTCACTCATTCATAACCTACCACATAACTTCCAGCCATGCAATGTGTTCACTCTTGACAATTCATTGTTATGGTAAATGAAAACAGCATAATTTCAGAGCTTTCATCTCATGGTTACATTGCACTTCTATATACATGTAGTCATTTCTTTTATGGGGTGGGGAGAGATTAAGTCAACTTGCTATGTCAGTGTATTGTGCCAACCCTGGATTATAGATGAGAATGGAGCATTTGGTGGAATGAGAACTGTCAGGTTAAACTGAAGAACTGCTGAGAAACCTTCTTCAGTGCCACTATGTCCAACATTAACCCTTCACCGCGGTCATTTTTCAGTGTGGTCATTTAAATTCCCCTGCCGTGTCTCTCCGGCGGTAATATTTTCAGCCCATTTAAATTTTGCTCGAGAATCTTTTATTCATCATTATTTTTTAAATTATATGAGATATAAACATGAAACTTTCACTAAAATGATCTTAAAAGTTGGTTTTATAATCTTACCTTATAATATGAGCGCCCTGTATCTCGGCAATGGAAGCAGGTGGTTTAGAATTTCAGTAGTGTATGATACGCTTTGAAGCATTCTACACACAATGATGCCTCACATTTACCACACCAATACTGAGTATCTTTCCTGTGGCCCTTTCTCGCACACACCACACACCTTCTGTAAGGTCTTGACTTCTTCCCCGAGGGGGGAAGACGCCCCGGGAAATACAGACCTCAATGTAGGCCTCTGATCAATGCCAATCAACATAATTAGTGCCAAAACCACGTACATTTCGTCCACTGTCACATCTTCCCACTTCCGAATTCTAGAGCGAAATGTGAGAGGTCTGGCGATTTTCGATATTTCCTGTTGAGCATAC